ATGTTCAGTGCTTGGTGACATAGTACACCTAAGTCTTTAAGCATGGAAATCTTCATCCTCTGAAACAGAGATGGTCATTAATGAATTCTGCTTTCCACAGGTTCATACTCTAAATCTGAATCTCACAATAACGTCTCCTCCCTTCTGCTCTCATTAGTCATACTCAGAATTTGAAAGGCCTCTTCAGTACTGTACAATTTTTTGGACATTTTTTGCCGTGGCTTTACTTCATAGCCCTGATGACACTGGCACTGGTGTGGCTAGAGATCAGGTCAATGTTGCTGGCTTACACTGGATCTGGTGATACTGGACCCATGTGGCAGCGATCAGAACTCTGTTGCTTGCTTATACTGGCATTGTTGTGGCAGAAATTATGAGCACTGTTGCTGACTGCACAGATCTAGCAACACTGGCACTGGTATGAGTAGTGATCAGGGGCACTGTTACTGATTGTACTGGCTGTGATGACACTAGCATTGAAGTATTTAGAGATTAGGAACACTGGTGCTAGCTGCATTAGTCTGGTGACACTGGCCCTGCTGTGACAGTGATGAGTAATACTGTTGCTAGCTGCACCAGTGTTACAGCTAACAGGAACACTGTTGCGGGCTTATGCTGGTCTAGTGACCCTGAAACTGGTGTTGCTAGTGAGTGAACAGGAACACTGTTGTTTGCATACACTGGTCTGGTGACACTGGGACTTGTGTGGCAATGATAAGGGATGCTGTTGCAGCAATCAGGAACACCTTTGCTTATTTACACTGGTCTGATGACACTGTACTGGTGTGGCAGCAATTGGAAACACTATTTCTGGCTTAAACTGGTCTGTTGACATTGAGACTGGTGTGGCTAGTAATCAGGAACACTGTTGCTGGCTTGCACTGGTTTGGTGACACCGGGACTGGAGTGGCAGCAATCAAGAATATTGTTGCTGACTGCACTGGTCTGGTGACACACAGACTGCTGTTTTGGTAATCAAAACACAATTGATGGCTTACACTGGTCTGGTGATGCTATTAATGGTATGACTAAGGATTAGGGACACTGTGGCTGGCTTACACTGGTCTGGTGACATTATACTGGTGTGGCTAGAGATTAGGGACACTGTGGCTGGCTTACTCTGGTCTAGTGACACTATACTGGTGTGGCTAATGATCAAGGACACGATGGCTAGTTTACACTGGTCTGGTGACACAGTGTCTTGTGTGGCTAGAGATCAGGGACACTGTGACTGGCTTACTCTGGTCTGGTGACGCTATACTGGTGTGGCTAGAGATCAGGGACACTGTGACTGGCTTACTCTGGTCTGGTGACATTATACTGGTGTGGCTAGAGATCAGGGACACTGTGGCTGGCTTACTCTGGTCTAGTGACACTATACTGATGTGGCTAATGATCAAGGACACGATGGCTAGTTTACACAAGTCTGGTGACACAGTGTCTTGTGTGGCTAGAGATCAGGGACACTGTGACTGGCTTACTCTGGTCTGGTGACACTATACTGGTTTGGCTAGAGATCAGGGACACTGTGACTGGCTTACTCTGGTCTGGTGACACTATACTGGTGTGGCTAGAGATCAGGGACACTGTGACTAGCTTACTCTGGTCTGGTGACACAGTGTCTTGTGTGGCTAGAGATCAGGGACACTGTGACTGGCTTACTCTGGTCTGGTGACACTATACTGGTGTGGCTAATGATCAAGGACACGATGGCTAGTTTACACTGGTCTGGTGACACAGTGTCTTGTGTGGCTAGCGTTCAGGGACACTGTTTCTGGATCTGGTCCACTGTAAAAAAATAAAAATAGTGTTTTCGGTCACAGTAGGAAACATTGTTTTTTTTTCTCACAGTTAATCAGTGTGTTAGATGAAACAGAGAGGTGGTTGCGAAATGCAGCCTTTAATTACTTTGGTAATTGCTGTCTTTGGTCACAGCAATCACATGGTACAAGGCTGATTTTATTGACTCTAGAGAGCGTGCATGAGCACTGAAAAGGGAAAGCTGTGTAACAGATGGATGGAGGACTGTTAAAGAAACTGAATAGGCAAAGTAACAGACTCCCCTGACAGGCTACACCTTGACCCATTTATACTCATGTTAAACGTGCTCACCAAAAACTCCATCAGAGCTCTCGTATTATACTCAGTGGGCCCGAAGTGACCATCACCAGGCCCTAACACTTTAATATTAGACATCATTAACTCGGTGTATGCTCTGATACTGTTTAAAATAAAGCTTACACATGCTTTGATTCCCAACTTTAAAAGAGGAATGGGGCAGCAAGTGAGTGCAGCAAAGGTTAGTGTGCAAGTGCCTGGGGGTGGGCTTTCAAGAGGTTCTGCAAATTTGTTCTACATGGAATGTCGGAAGAGCCACATAGCATAAGTGTTTTTTGAAGCCTGTAGGCATCTTTTGCCAGTGAAGTTCCTAAGGTATAGATAAAGGGTCTCCAAACTTTATATGCAAAGGGCTAGTTTACTGTCCTTCAGACTTTAAAGGGGTCAAACTGTGGGCATTGGGAGTAGAAAATGTCCTGGCATCAGCTGGAGCAAACAATACACCATTTCTGGTGCTAATGAGAAGAACTGTGCCCCATCATTGTGTCACTGGGGAATCGTGCCCCATCATTGGCGTCATTCGGAGGAATTGTGCCCCATCATTTGTGTCATTGGAGGGAACTGTGCCCCATCATTGGTGATATTGGGCCCAATTGTTGGTGTAATTGGGCGGAACTGTGTCCCATCATTGGTGTCATTGGGAGGCATTGCACCCCTTCATTGGTGTCAGTTGGGGGGAATTAAGCCCCATTGTTGGTATCAGTGGATGAAATAGTGCTCCAAGAGCCAGATAAAAGCAAGCAAAGGGCTTCATCTTGCCCCCGGGCCATAGTTTGAAGACCACTGGTCTAGATAATTAATATTGTAGGGGTGTGCTACAAACCCCCTCTTACCTTGTACAGTTTATCATACTGTATATATCATCACATTCTACTTGCTAGGATGGCAAGGTAAGTAGCAAGTGATAATTACTATTGTTACTATAGCCAGTGTTTTATTTTTTTAGGTGAGAACAGGTAGCTTATCTCAACATCAAATTTCTGCTTTTACTTTTGAGTTTATCGTGAGATTATTAAAAGGAAAATTTGATTGGTTCCTATAGTCAATATGATGAAAATTGTCTTTGGCAGTTCTCCACTTTGACAGATGAATTATAGTGTTTTTATGAACATCTAATACATAGTTATTTATAGAAACTTATTTAGCATGGATGTATTGTGGTACCAAGCCAAGTCACTCTATGGAAGTAAGGTTATGAGCCAAGAAAGAATGAGATCAACATTCACAATGCTGAAAACTAGTAATGTTTCAAAGACTCATGAGAAGTTTGGAGGATTTTCACAAAATATTCATCAGTCATGCACCAATTTTACCTTGACAACAGCCAATGTGTCCCAGCAATGTTAGATTTAGCCCTTATTCTGCTTACCATCTTCCTGTTCTAACAAGAAGTATGAAGTTGACAATTCTGAGACAAACTGGTTCAACTGAAAATTTTGGACTTACCCTCACTTTCTTTCTGGTGACATTGCTGATAAGGACAATTAGAGAAAGTTAATCTCCCTATGAGGGACACAGACAGCAATGAAAACTTGACAGTGGTTCTAACCCCTCACCATTCTATCCATTGCAAAAAAAAAAGCTTAGCAAGTTTATAAATACAATCACCAAATCTACTATGCTTTGTCCCTCTGGTCATACGGTGCATTTAAACCTATGAGCTGGATTGTGTATTCATCACAGTTTTTACCTGATTCACAGTGGTGATCCTGATTTGGAATTGACTAATTTCCCTTATGACTAAGGACGAGCATCAGGCTCTGGTCAATCATGAGTTCAACCCAAATCTGAGCTGATTGGAGTCCTCAGACTGGCAAACTAAATGGCCAGATTTGGTCTGCTTGTCTGCCCACCCAAATCTCCAGCTGCTGCAGGTGGGACTTTTTTATTTAGTGGCAGTATTACTACCCGAACTGACCAAGGGGGTATTTGTGTCAGTGGGTCATGGGGGTGTTGTTCATCATGATCAACATTGGTTCCTTATCATGACATAATTGATGTTGGATATAAAGTTTGGGATTTTTTATTAACAAAATACTCCCTCATGTTAACATGCATGTTACTGCAATGCAGTAGTATGAATGATTTCTAAATGTAACCATGCCTTTGCACTGTTTCATCCTAGCTTCAGTTTGAATTGATACGTTCAATTTACAATTCTGTATGTCAGTTTTTTTCATCAGAAGATAAAGTATGAACATTCCCAAAATTTGCCCTTACATACTTTTAAGTCTTCATCCTCCCTATCTTTTCTGTAGAGAAGTATGGATGAAGATTGATGAACAAACTAATTTTAGACTAGCCTGTATAATATTGAAGTTGTCAGGTCATTCATTTCATTAAAAGCATTTGCTGCATGACTGTGTATGAATTGGTTTGAATGCATACTTAATGCCTTCTTTTATTTCAGATGAATTATTGGCCATCCTTATATTTGAATATTGGCCTTATGGAAGAGCATACTTGTCTTTGTGTAAGTTAATTGCATACCATTGGGTTTTTAGAGCAGAGGTCTGGCCCAGAATGGAAACTGGCAATACTACCATTTGCAAAAGGCCAGTATGTCAAGAATATAGGTGGGCTATTTATATCTACATTTTGCTGTAGATTACAAAATACTGTAACCTCTTTTGACTCTGCACTTTGGTGTTATAAATATTCCAGAAACAGAACTTCTGGGAAAACATTTACGTTATTATTTTGTTTAGCTTGGAGAAAAGCTGTGTAGAGATTTGGCCTCATTTCACATTAAAAAATATACTGTAGTTTGCTATTACTTAGAATACAATACCAGAGAAAACTCAGTGCAATCACCATAAAAAACGTGCAAACTATGAAAAAAAGAAAATATATACACTATATTACCAAAAGTATTGGGACACCCCTCTAAATCATTGGATTCAGGTGTTCTAACCTCATTCATGGCCACAGGTGTATTAAATCAAGCACCTAGGCATGCAGACTGCTTCTACAAACATTTGTGAAAGAATGGGTTGCTCTCAGGAGCTCAGTGAATTCAAGTGTGGTACCGTGATAGGTTGCCACCTGTGAAATAAGTCCATCTGTGAAACTTCCTTGCTACTAAATATTCCACAGTCAACTGTTAGTGGTATTTTAACAAAGTGAAGTGCACAGTGCGCAGAAGTCGCCAACTGTCTGCAGAGCCAATAGCTAAAGACCTCCAAACTTCATGTGGCCTTCAGATTAGCACAACAACACTGCCTTGAGCCAGCACACTTCTCCCCCTTTGACAGGATTAGAGAGAGGGCTCAATCTGCTCCGCCTCCTCCCACCCCTACCTTTCTGTGTCTGCCCGCCCACACTCCAAAATCCGACATGTTGTGCCTCAGAAAATAGATGTGTGAACAAGAAATGTGAAGCGCAGCAGCCAACAGATACATTGTGGATGTGAGGCGCCAATGTCTGAGCCTCCGGTGAGTGCACATCATCTACTGTCTGTGACTGAAGCCCCCCCCCCTCCTGCCTCCGAGCGAGTGAGCACACTAAGGTAAGAAGGATGTAAGGGGCACTCTGTGGACACAGATGTGGGGTGGAGTGCTGGAAACTCTGATGTAAGTATGGACAAGGAGGGCGAGAGGAAACCCCTTACATCAGTGTTCCCCTTATACCAGAGCACACAGCGTTTCCCCTTAAAAAAAAATTGCAATGTGTCGCTAAAGTGTTCAGGTTTGGCTTGAAGAGAAGGTAGGCATCCCTGGACATGTCACCAAATATTGTTGGCCAGTGGAGAAGTATTCCCGTACATTGTACACTTAATGAAGTAATGAAGCACACTTTTAGATTGGTATTCAGTTAAAGTGCCTCTTTGCATTGGTGCTCAGTGAATGTGCCTCCTTGGTGGTCCATAGAGGAGTGTCCCCTTACATTGCTGGTCCATGGGGTTGTGCTTTTATTTGTACGGTACAACATTTATGAGAACCAGAACACAATCAGTGCTCCTATGGATAATATGTTTTAACCAAAAAAGTATTTGTCAGTTTTGTCATATGAGCATATGATGGATGAGTTGCTTGTTGTTACAAGTTCAGTGGTGTGGTATCCATTAATATAATTACAGGGGGGAGCCTGGGTTCAGATTGAATTTTGGTTGTTCAGAGGTTTGGCCAGTTGCCAACAGTGGTTAGTGAAGCATTTAGCAGTGGTATTAGTACCAATTTTTGTGTGCTTTTTGTTTCCCACATCTTTTTTTGTGGGGACCCCTTAAATTCATTCTAGACTCACATCTGCAGTAGTGGGATGTATCAGTAGTGGGATGATAGGAAAGAGACTGATTATAGGATTGTGGTGGGTAACTTTGCCACTTGGTGTAAGGGTAATCATCTGTATCTAAATGTGACTAAGACAAAGGAGCTGATTGTGGATTTGAGAAGGAGGAAGGCATTGGTGACATCTGTCTTCATCTGAGGAGTGGGTGTGGATGTAGAAGAGGATTACAAGTATCTGGGGTTATGCTGTGGCATGCTGGGGAAGCAGGCTTAGGGTGGCTGACACCAACAGACTCAACAAACTGATTTGAAGGGCCAGTGATGTTGTTGGATTGGAGTTGGAGTCTCTGAACACAGTGTTGTTCAAGGTACATTCAATCTTGGACAATTCCTCACTCCCACTCCACAATACGCTGGTCAGTCTGCAGAGTACAGTCAGTGACAGATTGGTGCAACCACAATGCACCACAGAGCGACACAGGAAATAATTTTTACCTGTGACCATCACTTCTTTGTGAGTGCTGAATGTGAGGAGTCAGGTTTATGATTCTGATTTTATGTAGTTTTTATAGTTGTGTTGTTGTGTAGCACTACCCCCTTAGGAGTTATGGGTCCCCCTATAGCCCTGCACAGTTAGGCAACATTCATTTTCTTCAGACCTTGCACACAGAAGACAGTAAACAGTCCTTGAACCTGTTTTTGTAGTTTTATTGAGGGATATTGAACTTGAATGGGGTTGAGGGGTGTATGGGATGCCCAAGGGAACAGTAAACTGAGGACAACGCCTTAGCAACCATGTACACGCCCATTAAACAGCAAAGTCTCTTTGTTGGAACAGCTCTCAAGCCCTCCAGGTAGACCACCTTAGACCCCAGATGAATTTTCCTCTTCACTCAGCTGCATGAAGGAGTGCCTGGACAAGGGTATCCAGAAGCTGCCACTTTAAAATATAGAGTCCTGTGTGAGGAGCTAGTCAGGTTTCCCACCAGAATTCCCTTTTCCCTTATCTGGCCAAGTGGTTGTAGAATTACTCACTTAGTCCTCTCCTTTAAGCCTGTGGGGCGGTGGCTACCTTCAGGCCTTACACTGGGCTGGCTCCTTCCCTGCTTCCCAGGCTGTCCTCTCTCAGGAGACAGTGAAGCTGAAAGATCCAGCAACTCTGCCTGTAGGTAGACCCCTCCCTAGGCCCCCTCCCAGACTTCTGCATCCCAGCCTCTCACTCCATCTTCCACCCAAACGCTTCTGCTGCTGAGCAGGCTCAGTCATACTTAAGGGCTGTCCTCACCCAATGCCAAGCCTCCTGCTTGGGGATTGGTTAGGATCTCCTAAGCATACACCTCAGCCCCTTCTCACCCCCTCCCACTGCCTTCTAGATACTTCTCAAGTCTCTAGAGCAAGGGGAGGTCTCAGGGAACTGATCTGCAGAGCCCTCAGCCCTGACCTAAATTGACTTGGCTGACTCTCATCCAGGCTGACTAATGCCCAGGACTGCTATTCAGCCTTTCTCGGGATTAGGTTAATTATGATTGTGGGTAGAGAAAGTAGTGTAGTATTTGCATTTAGGTAGTTTGATTTATTGTCATTGTTCAATCTGTGTTATGTATTCTATGTAGTATTTTAATAGGATTAATGGTTTATTATAATAAAGTTTTAATTAGTTTTATTTGGTACTAATTGCTGTTTTTGGTATTTTATTGTGTCAGTATGTCTTGTTTCAGTTCATCATTGTGATCTTGTGTTGTATTCATTGAATGTAACTGTATCTTAACAATTTCCTTTTGAGATTAATAAAGTATCGTGAATCTAAATCATCAAGAATAAGGGTCTGGTATGTATTTTTAGGGGGAACCCCACACATAGACATTTAGATCAGACTCTCATCTAGAGTATATATAAATTAATGCTATGGCTGATGCTTTAATTTAAACAGCATTTTTTTTTTTTCTTTCTTTCAAAACAGTAGTATTACTGTAGTAGGTTGTATACATAATACAGATGTGACACTTCACAGGCACACCCCCAGGTACATTATTTAAATGAATTTTGAACTTTTAATGTTTGCTTTTAAGCCTTATTAAAATAGTGTTTCACCAACAAACACATTTTTTTTAAATTTCTTTTTCTGTGGTATCTCATGTTTCTCATGGCAGTGCCCCCCATGCTCTTGCCTAATAGCCTTGAAAATGCCATTTTTGGTGATTATTGTTTAGCTATTTTTAACTTCTGTGTGGTTCGGATTCAGCACCTGAAATTCAGCAATGTTTGCCGAACCCGACTTTAAACCCAGGTACCCATCCCGAATGGTCATTAGGGATTTTCAATACTGGACACTTGTACCCCCTTTTTGCCCAGGCCAGTTTTCAGCTTTCAGCGCTGTTGCATTTTGAATGACAATTGCAGCACTGTACCCATATGATATTTTTAAATAAAATTCACACAAATAGAGCTTTCTTTTGGTGGTATTTAATCACAGCTGGTTTGCTTATTTTTTGCAAAAATTTAGAAAAAAAAGCATGTTTTTCGGTGTTTTGCAAATAAATAATTGTTCTTCATAAATGTATGGCAAAATATATACTGCTACATTTCTTTGGTGAAAATAACCAAAAATCAGTGTATATTATTTAGTCTGTAAGAAAGTCCACAAACTATGATATAAATATCTGAAAATCGATCATTACATCCTGATGTACTGATGGCCTATCTCATTTAGTGAGGCCCAAAAATGCCAGGACAATACAAATAGATCCCAAATGACCCCCTTTTGGAAAGTAGACAGTCCAAGGTATTTACTATGAGGCATGGAAGTTTTTGAAGTTGTAATTTTTTGTAACAATTTTTTGGAAAATTAAGAAATAAAAATAAATGTTTTTTCACAATTTTTTAAAAATTAAAAAAAAAACCTGTCACCTGTGCAGTACAGCATCATCATATAATCTGTGTGGCTGTGATCAGGGATATTGACTGATGACAGTATGTAAAAAAAATAATAATAATTAAAAAAACATTTTTTTTATATTGTTGTTCTTTTTTATTACATTTTTTCTTTTTTTCCCAATTTTGTTTACAAACAGTGACCAGAGCAATACAGCGTTACCATAATATCACTGTACTACTCAGGGGAGGTGATGAGAATTCTTTTTTTTTTTACACACTATGATTGCTTAAAACTGAAATTTACAGGCATCCATTTTGTCTGCATGAAAACCATGCAGTGTTTACTATTGTGATTAGCTGTGATTAGCTACAGTTAATCACATGGTACAGATGAAAGGCATGAATCAAAGCTTTTCATTGTGCACAATTGTGATGTGATCTGCTGTGATTGGTCACAGTGATCACAAGGTATTGGCAGTGGGCCCGTACAATGATCAGTCATTGGCTGTGTCCAGTGTGGCCCGTGGGGTGCACATGAGGCGCGATCCTGGGAGGACATCATTTGACGTTTGATAATAGGGCTCCCACCTGGCCATCATATTACAATAGGCCTGCAGGAAGAGAAATGTAAAGTAATCCTGTATATCAGTGGTAATTGGGGAAGTACTCTATTTTCTTGATGGTCAGTGGAGAAGTGTCTACTTCCATTGGTGATCAGTAGAGAAGTTCTCCCTTACATTGGTGGTCAATGGTGAAGTGCCACACATTACATTACATTGTTGGCCAATCATTCAGTGACCCTTAACATTGGTGGTCA